CTAGTGTCTTCATCATGAGTGATCTGATGTTGAAACTTGAATCCTCATATACTCCAGTCTAGTGTCTTCATCAGGAGTGATCTGATGTTGAAACTTGAGTTCTTATATACTCCAGTTTAGTATCTTCATCAGGAGTGATCTGATGTTGAAACTTAAAGTGCACCTCCAGGCAAAATTTTTTATTGGTTATATCGAATCTATGTATGATGGCCAGCATATATGCGAAAAATTTTTTAAATCGGTTATATCTTTCCTTTTTTATGGCGGTTTGAAGTTGACAAAAATGCACTTCTTGATGGACCATGTCCGTCGTTACAAGAACCTGGAACGAGCAAATTTTATGACGTCACGCAAGGTACTCGTCAAAGTAAGGCCGTTGTTTCTAAATACATTACGTGCAGTTTTTGAAAACTAAAAACATGGTTAATAGCTGTGTGGCGGCAAATTGCACGAATAAGTCATGTCTTAGTTCCGGTATAAGTCTCCACACAATACCCTACTTTAATGACAATCGACCTGAGGCCAGGAGAAGAAGAAAAATATGGGTTGACTTCGTCAAAGCAAAACGGGTCTTTGAACCTTCGAAGACGTCGGCCCTTTGTTCGGCACATTTTACGCCCGAGGATTTCGAGCGAAGCTTTGCTATTTTGCCTGGTCAAACAAAGCCGAATTACCAGAAGCTAAAGAGCGATGATCTAGGGGTTTGTGTTTATCCCAGCATACATGCTGTGGCGGTGAAAAGCTCCAGTGAACTGGTCGTACAAAGTGCTAGAGATAGACGCATGGTGAGTAAGTTTTGATTTGATTCAACATATTTTTGTTTTGAATTTATTTGCAATGTTTAATCCTACTATGTAATTTTACTTAAAATATACGTTTTCTTTTCATGTGAAGATGATAAAAAGTATGCAGCAAGGAAAGGCATGTCCATCTGAAGCATCAGGGTTGGCAATGGGTATGATTTGCTTTCATAAAGATGCCAATATTTTTTCTGTGAGAAAACTAATCTGAAGGTTAATCATTTTAATAGGTATTCAGTGTAAGAAAAGAAAGCTTGAGACAAAGGAAAGGCCTAATGAAATTATTATGGATGAGCCAGTAAATGTAATTATTATGTTCCAACATGTTCAGGTTTGTGCTCTATAATCAAAGTTAATCAGTGCTTTATTATTCTCTTAGAATTCCTCAGAAACAAGAGGAATGAAAAATCTTCAAGAAAGCAACCGAAGACTGAAAAACAGAATAGTTTCTTTGCAAACATCTGCACAAGGAAACAAATACAAAGTGAAGCAACTTAGACGCAAAGGTGAGCCCCATATTTCACCCACATTTTGCAATCCAAAAAGCTAAACATATATAAAGCAGTATTGTTTAATTTCTAGTAAGCCAGCTTGAAGAACGTTTGGAGGGAAAGTTGATGTTTGAAGATAGCAGTGGGAAGGAGCAAAGTGAAAGGGGGGCAGAGGTGATTGAAGATGACAACTTAGACAGCAATGATGAAGGGGAAATCATGGAAGAAGCAGATGATGAGTATGATCCTTTCTATGAGGGGGAGAATGCTAACATTGAAGATGATGAAGAAGAGCTTATTGAAGAAGATTCAGAGTTAGTATTTCCTATTTTCTTATAGTTTAAATATTTTACATTGGAATTGTTTGACATGCTTACTCAATAGCAGCTTAACTGCGATTTGCGAATTCATGTTTTTTTCCTGCTATATGAAATATTTTAGAAAGACATTAAATAATAAAAATTTTGTTCATGACTTTGTACTTTTGCTTCAACTAGGTTATTGCAAGTTACTGGGAATCTGCGGACAGAACCCAAACACATTGTGTTTCTCTCACAACTGTTGCTACTTTTTAATTTTTGCCACGCCTGCAAGACTGAAAATCCAATAGTTGAAGCTAAAACTGTTGGGTCTAATGTCATAATAAAAACAACTTGCCATAACCCAAAATGCCCTGAAGAAACTAAAACATGGCAAAGTCAACCACCAATGCCTGGATATCAAAACCCGTGCTGGAAATTTTTATTGTGCATGGCAGTACTGCTTAGTGGTGGATCATTCACCAAGTTGAGACAAACTTTCTTGAACATGGGTATTGGATGTGTCTCTCACAGTACTTACTTTCATTATCAGCGGGTGAGTATGAACAAACCATTTTACAAGAATGAGAAAAAAGTTTTCATTGTAGCAGGATTTCTGAATCATGTGCATTCAGAAATATATTTTAATTGATTTGTAATCAATTTTCTAGACTGTGCTGTTCCCCACCATCTATCTGTACTGGAAGAATTATCAATCAAAGTTGTTGGAAAAGGCAAAGCAAATAAAAGATGGTGTGGTCCTTGCAGGGGATGGGCGGCATGACAGCATGGGTCATTCAGCCAAGTTCTGTGCATACACAATTTTTTGTTGCACATTTGCAAAGATCATTCACTTCAATATTGTGCAGGTAACAAAAAATGTACATTATTAACAATTGATAACAATTACTTAAATTTACTTATGAGGTGTTGTTTTGTTTTTTTAGAGAAACCAGGCCGGAAGTAGTCCAGCAATGGAGTTCATGTCGTTTAAATTATGCATGGACTACCTTCTTACATCTGCTGTTCCCATTACCACATTCATCTCTGACAGGCATACCTCAATTGCAAAATATATGCGGCAAGATTTAAAGAATATCATACACTATTTTGATGTATGGCACTTGAAAAAAAGTAAGTGTATTTGATTTTCTATTCAGGCCTCTTGAAAGTATGAAGTCGTCACTGAACTATTAACATCACTGAATGTCTATAAAAGAGGAAGTATTGTTTCACTGTCATTGTTTCCACTTTTTGACATAATTTTTCTGGTTGGATGTTCTGTTACATACAGAAATTAGGAAAGTGCTTTCCAAAATTGCCAAAGAGAAGGACTGCGAGGCATTACACGATTGGATCAGGCCAATTGAGAATCACCTGCATTGGAGTGCCACCTCGACATTTGATGGGAATGGCCTTGTTATATTGGCCAAATTCAAGTCATTCCTACAACATATTGTAAACATGCACTCATGTCACAGTAACCCGTTGTTTGCAAAATGTGCCCATGGTAGTAGCATTCCAGATAGAAAGTGGCTGACCGTTGGTAAGTTCAAATAATGTATATATATTTTGTGTAAACTGTGTACAATGAACACTATGCCAAAGATCAAAATATGACATTATTTCTTAGTACATGTACAAATTGTGGTGCAGCCAGCCACACTTAACTTGACCAAATCTGGAGGCTAGCAATTTTAATTTATACAAGTACAGGTTTAATATAAAATGGAGTTACATGATTTAATTTGTTTTTATATCTAGATTCACCCCTTCATAAAAAGATTTGCAATGCTTTGACAAACAAACGACTGGTAGATGGGATCAAACAAGCTTCTCCATTAGAACAAACTAGCTGTTTGGAGGGCTTTCACAGTGTTTTAAATCATTTTGCCCCCAAAATGATTGCATACTGTTATGCTGGACAGTATTGCAGGTGGGAAAATGAACTATCATTTACTAAAATGTCTGTTGTTACTAGTTATAGTTGTATATAATACAACTGTATATAATACAGTTTTTCTTTTTATTAAAGGACAAATAAGATGAATGCAAAGAGCAATTGCAATTTATGTGAATCCTGTTTTTAGGCATATTTTAGCTGTTGTGCACTTTAACAACAACCTCAGGAGAGAAATCAAAACAAATCCTGACCAATCAGAAAGAGTCAAAATTAGCTACCCAAAGTTTAAAAATGGGGAGGCCATAATTCGAAATGTTACAGTTGCACAGAATTTTGGTAAGTTTTTGATTATCTAGATGATGTAATCCTGTTGTTTGAAGATGTTTGGAAATAAAGACATTAAACATTATTTGCAGGATATGTGCAAGACATTTATGAGAATTTTCTGTCAGCTAGCAAGAGGGACATGGCTGATGCAATGGTAAAGCTGAAAGAAATGTGCCCGCCTCAATGAATTCAATGCTTACTAAGCAAACAAAGCAAGAAGCATTGAAGAAAAAGTCTGACAGGATGCAAATCACTGTCCAACATTTTCAACCCAGTATTCCAGGTAAGATTTTTATGCTAAAAGATTGTTGTTCATAATTTGTTCTAGTTTTGACTAAACCACATTCAAATTTGGATTTGTACTCAGTGAACATGTAAACACTAGATAAATTTAGTTGTCAAAACCTGGAAAGCTTAATTTGTCTTTTGCAGTGTTACAATATCAAGAACAGTTGAGGAGAGACAACAGTAAAGCAAGTACTGGTGATGTGACACCCAGACATTGCAGAACATGTGGACAACCAATGAGGGGTCACAAAAATGTCAAAGATTGTCCAAAAAACTATAGCTAAAGGAGCATCAACCTACCAATTTAGTTTTCACCTGTCCATAAAATTATAAGCAATACCTCTTTTAAGATCTATATTTTACAACGCACTCTCACCCCAGCTTTTTTTTACATTTTTGCATTCTTTATACATCTTGGAAAATTTAACTAATCTGAATCATCAGAATATCCAGTAAAATTTTCTTTATCAACTACTGGAAATGTTTTTCATTGCCATGTAGGCACATGCAGGTAGAATCGCCTATTACCAAGGAGACCATATACCAGTCTTGTAAATTCTCTATAGGAGATGCTGCGTAGAAAGCTAAAATAGAAACTTCAGTATTAGATTATGTGAATTAATGAAGTCCATTGTGGGATTATATGTTTTATGATTTGTTCATGAAAAGAACTACCTTCTAGTGTATTTGCTTTTATTTTTCGTTTTCAACTTGCTGGCAGCCATCTTCAAACTCCACTTTTCAAGGCATACGGAGTTAAATCCAGGATGTTGAATGATGCATTTCGCATTAATTATACCTTCGGCTTGGAGATCGCTAATCACTTCGTCGCTTTTCATTGCTTCATGGCATCCATCAAGTTCAAAACAACAATGGCATTCGTTATTGTTTACGAGTAGCGTCACATCACAATTTCCGCACTGACACCACTCGTCCACTTTTACAGAGCCGTCCAGTCTTTTGCCGAGCTTTTCTTGTAGTTCTAAACGTTTTTGTTCCTGACTGTTGTAATTTTCCAACCACTCTTCGTCTGCCAAAGGCTCGTCAGCATATGCTAGGCCCACGTTTTCTTGATTAAAATCTTTGTTAGAATTTCTAACCTCAGAACATTCGATCATGTAACCGGGAATAAAATTAATATCGGAGTCGTCAGACTGATAATCCTCCGAATCACATTCCCAATCTATTACATCCTTATCCATGATAGCTCTGACAAAAACAAACTACATCTTCGTCCGACCACGTGCAACAAGATTGTATATGCCTAAAGGCGGTTTTCCATTACGGTCGCTTCGCCCGCGCGGGCGAAATCTGTTTTTGAGAGCGTTGGCCGCCCGCTGGGTTTGATTTCCATTATTTTCGCCAGAGATGGCGGTAAATTTAAGCAAAACATGGCGGCTCTGAATAATCGACGACGACTTTTTCTGCTAATTCTTTTAAGACGAAGATTAAGACAACAAAAATACAAGAAAAGATTTTGGGTAAGGAGTATATTACAAAAAAGGAAAGAAAAAGGAGAATACCATACTCTAGTTAAAGAAGCTATGTTATATGACAAAGAATTTTTTTTCCATTTGTTTCGTATGACTCCTTTCAAGTTTGAAGAATTACTGACCTTAGTTGCACCAAAAATACACGCTGCAAAGAGAAGCTATTGGACCTGCAGAAAGGCTTTGCGTCACTTTAAGATATTTGGTCACTGGAGACGCCTTTAGAACTATTGCAGCAAGTTACCGTTTAAGTGATACTGTTGTGGGACGAATTATAAGGGAGACTTGTAAAGCTTTGTGGAATGTTATGGCAGAAAATGGTTTTTTATCTGTTCCGAGTTCGTCTAAAGAATGGCTAGATATAAGTCAAGACTTTGAGAGAAGGTGGAATTTCCCGAACTGCGTCGGAGCGATTGACGGTAAGCATATCATTATCCAGTGTCCTTCACGAGCAGGATCTATGTTTTTTAACTACAAGAAGTTCCACAGTGTTGTCCTGATGGCAGTTGTGAATGCAAAATATCAATTTACGATAGTTGATATAGGCGACTATGGACGTCTAAGTGACGGTAGCGTTTTTTCAAGTAGCCAACTTGGTATTGCTATGGAACAGAACAAATTAAACCTTCCACCCCCAAGACTGCTACCTGGGACCAATATTAGTGTACCATATGTGTTTGTTGGAGACGATGCTTTCCCTCTTAAAAATTATTTAATGAAACCCTATCCTAGGGGAGAGATCCAGATCCCCGAGCGAATTGCAAATTGCAGATTCTCCCGTGCAAAAAGAATTGTGGAAAATGCCTTTGGCATTGCCACCTCACGATTCAGACTTTTCAGACGAGCAATTACGGCAGATGTTGACGTTGCAGTGCAAGCTACAAAGGCAATTGTGGCTCTTCATAACTACCTTATGGCTGACAGGTGTATTCCAAGTAATCCATATTGTCCATCTGACTTTATTGACAGTGACTGCAATGGTTCAATTAGACTAGGTGGGTGGAGAAGGGAGAATGTCAATAATGGCGGAATTCAGGATGTAACACATCTTGGATCCAATAACTATTCAATACAATCAAAAAATATCAGAGACTGTTTTAGAAATTATTTCAACTCAACAATAGGTTCTGTGCCATGGCAAGACATGATTGTAACATCACGACCCTGTGCGTTTGACAGACTTGTATTAGATGAAACAGTGGATTGACATACACTCTTAATGGTTAATACAGCATTAATCAAAACACTATATTCCTTTTTGTAATAAATATACTTTAGTTTTCAAACAACATATCAACATATTTCACAATAAAATTTGAAAGAAATATCAATATAAAATAAACATGAGCAATTATGAAAAATGCATGCAAGAGTTCTAATGTTCATCATCAAATTCATACTTAATAAGAATGTTTTGAATTTCAACCCTTGCCATTCGGTTTCTCTTAGGAGGCAATTTGTCTAAAATATCCACAATGCTGTCACAAAACAATTGGTTTGAACTGCGCACTTCAGTCTTTTGTGTTGACACTTCTTCTGACTTTGTTAAAGCATCAACCAACAACAAGTCAATCTTTTCTTGCCGATCAAAATGTTTCTTTGATTGCTTATAAGGCTGCTTTTTGTCACACTGATCTACATCCAGTTTCCGTTTAGCAGATTCAGTTTTTTGTTCGTGCATCTGATTGTTTGGAATATCCATTGGGGTTACGTTTATGTTGCTTTCTGTTTCACGATTGGAAACAAACTCACGTAAAAAAAGCAATTGCTCGAAGAATTTGCATGTGGGTATCTTTGTAGCACCCGCCCCAGACTTTTGTCCATCACTTATCTTTTTTAAGCAACGCATCATGCCATCGCGTAGGTTTTTCCACCTTCGTTTCAGCATTCCATCTAAAATAGATAAAAAATACCAAAAAATTAGACAACATTTTTTGCTTTGTAAATTCAAAGATGATGGCTTTTGTTTTAATATTTCAAGTCATACCCATCTCAAAATTACCTACAAAAATTCAATTCTCGATTTTTTCCTCAACAACACTATAATTTCATCATTGTGATGTAGTGTGATGCATTGTTATGCATTGTGATGCATTGTGATGCATTGTGATGTAGTGTGATGAATTGTGATGTAGTGTGATGATTGTGATGTAGTGTGATACATTGTGATACATTGTGATGTAGTGTGATGAATTGTGATGTAGTGTGATGAATTGTGATGTAGTGTGATACATTGTGATACATTGTGATGTAGTGTGATGAATTGATTGATTGATTGATTGATTAAACTTTATTAAAAAGAGGGTAACACATGACACAACAAGTGTGAAAAACTTGTGGCCCTCAAACTAATTGTGATGTAGTGTGATACATTGTGATGCATTGTGATGCATTGTGACTTATTGTGATGTAGTGTGATACATTGTGATGTAGTGTGATGCATTGTGATGCATTGTGATGTAGTGTGATGCATTGTGATGCATTGTGATGCATTGTGATACATTGTGATGCATTGTGATGCATTGTGATACATTGTGATACATTGTGATGTAGTGTGATGGATTGTGATACATTGTGATGTAGTGTGATGCATTGTTATGCATTATGATGCATTGTGATGCATTGTGATCACACTTGTCACGAATAACAAGTACGCGCGGCAAGTTCACCAGTGTGCGGCGGGCTTAACAATGCGATTCGACCTAAGTTGTCAAAATTACCTTCTTTGACATTGCTCGTGATGGCATACACAAAACAAAAATGGAATAGCCATATAATTGTCGAGGACGCGCCGAACTGTTTCTCATTAATATATTTTCTATTACGAACTTGCTGGAGTTATCTTGCTGCCAACATGGCGGCGATGCCTGATTGCGGGCGAAAAGTTGACAACAAAATCTTCAAAGGTTCCGACGAGAGTGGCCCTTCTGGTTGTATCTATTCTGTGACTTGGCTTCAATTATTTGCTTCAGGGAGCGTTCCATTTATGATGTTAGTTCAATGTGTTGCATGGGCTGCAATAACAAAATCCGCCATTTTATCGAGTCACAAAATGGCCGTCACGCTGTGATTAACGGACAATGCATCTTGGTTGACACACATTGGATGACGACTTTAACATTGAAAATGCTACAAAATATCAACCATATAGTATTATAAGCTGGTCTCTGTATTATTAGCCGTTTTCAATAGCACAAAAGGGAATAATTGTTTTTCTATCTATACTCGCTTATACACTATATCAACCAAGAATTGGGTAGAGTAAGTTATGAAATAATTATTACAATATTAATTCATTCGAATAAGAAAAGAATAAAATAACATAATCAAATAATTTCATCGTGGTGCATCTTTGCTTAAAAAGATTAAGGACGTCGTTTTTAAAGTCTATAAGCCATGTTAGGAAGAAAGTTTCGACTGCAGCTGATTCCATGCTACTAATTACAATGATACCAGAATTTTCAGAGTTGTTAGTTGGCACGAGTAACCTTTGTCAATTTGTTTTCAATCCAAACCAGTAAATCAGGGGCATTTCCCAACAAAAAAATGAAATGCATCCTCTAGAAACCAAACTGAATTGATTTAAAATATAAAGTCAACAAACTAAAGAGGTGAGTTGCTATCTGGACGGGCTGTTATAAAAGTTACGGCACATATGTAGATCAGAAAAACAGCTACAGCCGACTTTGGAACTGATTATCAGAACTACCCAGAAGTAGCAATAGAGAAAGATACAGGTTTGACCACTCGTTAAAACGTAATGTGATTTGCATGATCCGAATAAAAGATGCATTATGATACGAAATGTGCATCGTGTAAATTTGAAATGAGAACTAAACATATCTGACGACATATTCATTCGAGCTAACTGGCACCTTGTTTTTTTACTCAGCAAGAAAAAATCAACGCCAGTTTGCTCTTCGCTGAAATAGTGCGTCTTGGAATGCTATCACGCAAACAAAAACAGGTCGTTAAAATGCTCCCAGCTCGTTCAAGATTACGTGAAATGTGTGGAAGAGGCGCGACAGGTATTTTGCCGTTTCTGAGGCCGTGAACGAGCTAAACCATTGTGGTGGACTGGGGAGTAGGGCTCCCCCAATTGTATAAAAACTTTCTTTTATGAACAGTGGGAGTTATTAATAATTGACTTTTACTTTACTTTCACCACAAAAAAACACCGGAAATAACATTGACGGACCCTACATTTCAAAATTCTTTCAAGAGCATGGCCCCGTTAAACTTCCACAAACCCCTTTAACAATCTCTTCTCCCCCCCTCCCTCCCACCAACAGATGATAGCAACAAGAAGCCGCCCACCTGTTATTCAACATTATGGGATCGTATTGACACAATAAGCATTACCAAGCCAACATTTTCCATAGGAATTCACACATCTTCACGTTCTATGACAGTCAAATTCAGTAACGTTGAATTGATTTGCACTTCCAATGATCTTTTTCAAAAACTGGTTCAAACAGTTTGAATTGAAATGTTTTTCTAAGTTTTTCAGTCGATGGCAAAAAAAGTTTCGTATTAACAAAGAACACTATCTTTCTGTTGATATCTCTAGAGTTATCATGTAACATGGAATTGTGATCTAGATGGAGTGTATCTGTATGCTTTCTTTGAAAACCAAGAAAGTGAGTCGTTTCTATCAATAAAACGATTTAACGTTTTATTTATGATCGCTTTTCGAACGTTGGCAGCAAATACCGGAAAATTTTCTGATCGCGTTCAGACGCGCACCAGCTGTTACTCAGTTTGTGATT